CTATCTATGAGAATATTTAATAAGAGCTGCATGCTGACCTGTCCCTACAGAAGATAGAACCAGTAAACTGTAAGAGGAGGTACTATCTATGAGAATATTTAATAAGAGCTGCATGCTGACCTGTCCCTACAGAAGATAGACCCAGTAAGAGGAGGTACTATCTATGAGAATATTTAATAAGAGCTGCATGCTGACCTGTCCCTACAGAAGATAGACCCAGTAAACTAGAAGAGGAGGTACTATCTATGAGAATATTTAATAAGAGCTGCATGCTGACCTGTCCCTACAGAAGTAGAACCATAAGAGGAGGTACTATCTATGAGGAAATATTTAATAAGAGCTGCATGCTAGACCTGTCCCTACAGAAGATAGACCAGTAAGCTAGTAAGAGGAGGTACTATCTATGAGAATATATAATAAGAGCTGCATGCTATGACCTGTCCCTACAGAAGATAGACCCAGTAAGAGGAGGTACTATCTATGAGAATATTTAAATAAAGGGCTGCATGCTGACCTGTCCCTACAGAAGATAGACCCAGTAAAAGCCTAGTAAGAGGAGGTACTTATCCTATGAGAATAATTAATAAGAGCTGTCATGCTGACCTGTCCCTACAGAAGATAGAACCAGTAAGCCTAGAAGGAGGTACTATCTATGAGAATATTTAATAAGAGCTGCATGCTGACCTGTCCCTACAGAAGATAGACCCAGTAAACCTGAAGGATAGGTACTATCTATGAGAATATTTAATAAGAGCTGCATGCTGACCTGTCCCTACAGAAGATAGACCAGTAAACTAGTAAGAGGAGGTACTATCTATGAGAATATTTAATAAGAGCTGCATGCTGACCTGTCCCTACAGAAGATAGAACCAGTAAACCTGTAAGGCGAGGTACTATCTATGAGAATATTTAATAAGAGCTGCATGCTGACCTGTCCCTACAGAAGATAGACCCAGTAAACCTGAAGGATAGGTACTATCTATGAGAATATTTAATAAGAGCTGCATGCTGACCTGTCCCTACAGAAGATAGAACCAGTAAACCTGAAGGATAGGTACTATCTATGAGAATATTTAATAAGAGCTGCATGCTGACCTGTCCCTACAGAAGATAGACCCAGTAAACCTGAAGGATAGGTACTATCTATGAGAATATTTAATAAGAGCTGCATGCTGACCTGTCCCTACAGAAGATAGAACCAGTAAGCCTGAAGGATAGGTACTATCTATGAGAATATTTAATAAGAGCTGCATGCTGACCTGTCCCTACAGAAGATAGACCCAGTAAACCTGAAGGATAGGTACTATCTATGAGAATATTTAATAAGAGCTGCATGCTGACCTGTCCCTACAGAAGATAGAACCAGTAAGAGGAGGTACTATCTATGAGAATATTTAATAAGAGCTGCATGCTGACCTGTCCCTACAGAAGATAGAACCAGTAAACCTGAAGGATAGGTACTATCTATGAGAATATTTAATAAGAGCTGCATGCTGACCTGTCCCTACAGAAGATAGAACCAGTAAACCTAGAAGAGGAGGTACTATCTATGAGAATATTTAATAAGAGCTGCATGCTGACCTGTCCCTACAGAAGATAGAACCAGTAAACCTGAAGGATAGGTACTATCTATGAGAATATTTAATAAGAGCTGCATGCTGACCTGTCCCTACAGAAGATAGAACCAGTAACCTGAGGATAGGTACTATCTATGAGAATATTTAATAAGAGCTGCATGCTGACCTGTCCCTACAGAAGATAGAACCAGTAAACCTGAAGGATAGGTACTATCTATGAGAATATATAATAAGAGCTGCATGCTGACCTGTCCCTACAGAAGATAGAACCAGTAAAGCTAGTAAGAGGAGGTACTATCTATGAGAATATTTAATAAGAGCTGCATGCTGACCTGTCCCTACAGAAGATAGAACCAGTAACCCTTAAGGCTAGGTACTATCTATGAGAATATTTAATAAGAGCTGCATGCTGACCTGTCCCTACAGAAGATAGAACCAGTAACCTGAAGGGATAGGTACTATCTATGAGAATATATAATAAGAGCTGCATGCTGACCTGTCCCTACAGAAGATAGAACCAGTAAGCTAGTAAGAGGAAGGTACTATCTATGAGAATATTTAATAAGAGCTGCATGCTGACCTGTCCCTACAGAAGATAGAACCAGTAAGAGGAGGTACTATCTATGAGAATATTTAATAAGAGCTGCATGCTGACCTGTCCCTACAGAAGATAGAACCAGTAAACCTGAAGGATAGGTACTATCTATGAGAATATTTAATAAGAGCTGCATGCTGACCTGTCCCTACAGAAGATAGAACCAGTAAGCTAGTAAGAGGAGGTACTATCTATGAGAATATTTAATAAGAGCTGCATGCTGACCTGTCCCTACAGAAGATAGAACCAGTAAGCAGTAGAGGAGGTACTATCTATGAGAATATTTAATAAGAGCTGCATGCTGACCTGTCCCTACAGAAGATAGACCCAGTAACTAGAGGAGGTACTATCTATGAGAATATTTAATAAGAGCTGCATGCTGACCTGTCCCTACAGAAGATAGAACCAGTAAGCTAGTAGAGGAGTACTATCTATGAGAATATTTAATAAGAGCTGCATGCTGACCTGTCCCTACAGAAGATAGAACCAGTAAGCTAGTAAGAGGAGGTACTATCTATGAGAATATTTAATAAGAGCTGCATGCTGACCTGTCCCTACAGAAGATAGACCCAGTAAGAGGAGGTACTATCTATGAGAATATTTAATAAGAGCTGCATGCTGACCTGTCCCTACAGAAGATAGAACCAGTAAACCTGAAGGATAGGTACTATCTATGAGAATATTTAATAAGAGCTGCATGCTGACCTGTCCCTACAGAAGATAGAACCAGTAAGAGGAGGTACTATCTATGAGAATATATAATAAGAGCTGCATGCTGACCTGTCCCTACAGAAGATAGACCCAGTAAGCTAGTAAGAGGAGGTACTATCTATGAGAATATTTAATAAGAGCTGCATGCTGACCTGTCCCTACAGAAGATAGAACCAGTAAACCTGAAGGATAGGTACTATCTATGAGAATATATAATAAGAGCTGCATGCTGACCTGTCCCTACAGAAGATAGAACCAGTAAGCTAGTAAGAGGAGGTACTATCTATGAGATTATTTAATAAGAGCTGCATGCTGACCTGTCCCTACAGAAGATAGACCCAGTAAGCCTGAAGGATAGGTACTATCTATGAGAATATTTAATAAGAGCTGCATGCTGACCTGTCCCTACAGAAGATAGAACCAGTAAGAGGAGGTACTATCTATGAGAATATTTAATAAGAGCTGCATGCTGACCTGTCCCTACAGAAGATAGAACCAGTAAACCTGAAGGATAGGTACTATCTATGAGAATATTTAATAAGAGCTGCATGCTGACCTGTCCCTACAGAAGATAGAACCAGTAAGAGGAGGTACTATCTATGAGAATATTTAATAAGAGCTGCATGCTGACCTGTCCCTACAGAAGATAGAACCAGTAAACCTGAAGGATAGGTACTATCTATGAGAATATTTAATAAGAGCTGCATGCTGACCTGTCCCTACAGAAGATAGACCCAGTAAGCTAGTAAGGCGAGGTACTATCTATGAGAATATTTAATAAGAGCTGCATGCTGACCTGTCCCTACAGAAGATAGAACCAGTAAGCTAGTAAGGCGAGGTACTATCTATGAGAATATTTAATAAGAGCTGCATGCTGACCTGTCCCTACAGAAGATAGACCCAGTAAACCTGAAGGATAGGTACTATCTATGAGAATATTTAATAAGAGCTGCATGCTGACCTGTCCCTACAGAAGATAGACCCAGTAAACTAGTAAGAGAGGTACTATCTATGAGAATATTTAATAAGAGCTGCATGCTGACCTGTCCCTACAGAAGATAGAACCAGTAAGCTAGTAAGAGGAGGTACTATCTATGAGAATATTTAATAAGAGCTGCATGCTGACCTGTCCCTACAGAAGATAGAACCAGTAAACCTGAAGGATAGGTACTATCTATGAGAATATTTAATAAGAGCTGCATGCTGACCTGTCCCTACAGAAGATAGAACCAGTAAACCTGAAGGATAGGTACTATCTATGAGAATATTTAATAAGAGCTGCATGCTGACCTGTCCCTACAGAAGATAGAACCAGTAAGCCCGTAAGGCGAGGTACTATCTATGAGAATATATAATAAGAGCTGCATGCTGACCTGTCCCTACAGAAGATAGACCCAGTAAACCTGAAGGATAGGTACTATCTATGAGATTATTTAATAAGAGCTGCATGCTGACCTGTCCCTACAGAAGATAGACCCAGTAAACCTGAAGGATAGGTACTATCTATGAGAATATTTAATAAGAGCTGCATGCTGACCTGTCCCTACAGAAGATAGAACCAGTAAGCCCGTAAGGAGAGGTACTATCTATGAGAATATTTAATAAGAGCTGCATGCTGACCTGTCCCTACAGAAGATAGACCCAGTAAGCCGTAAGGCGAGGTACTATCTATGAGAATATTTAATAAGAGCTGCATGCTGACCTGTCCCTACAGAAGATAGAACCAGTAAGCCCGTAAGGCGAGGTACTATCTATGAGAATATTTAATAAGAGCTGCATGCTGACCTGTCCCTACAGAAGATAGAACCAGTAAGCCTGTAAGGCGAGGTACTATCTATGAGAATATTTAATAAGAGCTGCATGCTGACCTGTCCCTACAGAAGATAGACCCAGTAAGCCTGTAAGGCGAGGTACTATCTATGAGAATATTTAATAAGAGCTGCATGCTGACCTGTCCCTACAGAAGATAGACCCAGTAAGCCTGTAAGGCGAGGTACTATCTATGAGATTATTTAATAAGAGCTGCATGCTGACCTGTCCCTACAGAAGATAGAACCAGTAAGCCCGTAAGGCGAGGTACTATCTATGAGAATATTTAATAAGAGCTGCATGCTGACCTGTCCCTACAGAAGATAGAACCAGTAAGCCCGTAAGGCGAGGTACTGTCCACCAGTTTAACAGTATCGTCCCACTCCGCGTCCTCAAACACATACACAGCCAACACGGGGCCGAATATCTCCTCGTGTAGCAGCTTACATTGGGGGTCTGTAGTGAGGACTATGGTAGGCTGCACGTAGTAACCAACACTGGGAGGGGGTTACAGTTGGTATTTGGGGTTAAATTATAGGGGTTTAGAAGTTTTGTTATAAGAAGTTTGTTGTAGCTGGTTCTTCTTCACGTCATGAATAATAAATGTCTGAGAAACAATTTAATAGCCAACAACGAAAACTGAACGAGAAGACTGAGGTTTTCTGTCTTTAATCGGTGACAAACATCAAATAACCCGCAATACAACCGGGAACTTTTAATTCAAATTATCAAACCTATCATCACAGACTCCTCCAGCTATAATCTCGCATGAACTGTCCTCTCGAGCAAAGTCAACATAACTCTTAATCTTGGAGAAGCTCTTGGCGTCAATAACTGCCGATGTGAAGGATTTGGCGTCCTCGGCAGAACCAATATTAAGAGCCTCTGTGGAAGAGACTAGCTTGTCTCTGACCTGGGAATTAAGGGAGTTTTGTGAGGATTTGGGTGTTAGTAATTATACATGATGGAAGATCTCCTTTATATTTATTATCATGATAAGTTGCGTATTATATATGCCAGGACTGACTCTCAGTTTAAAAATAGGCCAGAACATTCAACCGTACAGTGTTTAGTCGTGGTAACCAGTATAGTGTAGTCATGGTAACCAGTATAGTGTAGTCATGGTAACCAGTATAGTGTAGTCATGGTAACCAGTATAGTGTAGTCATGGTAATCAGTATAGTGTAGTCATAGTAACCAGTATAGTGTAGTCATGGTAACCAGTATAGTGTAGTCATGGTAACCAGTATAGTGTAGTCATGGTAACCAGTATAGTGTAGTCATGGTAATCAGTATAGTGTAGTCATAGTAACCAGTATAGTGTAGTCATGGTAATCAGTATAGTGTAGTCATGGTAACCAGTATAGTGTAGTCATGGTAACCAGTATAGTGTAGTCATGGTAACCATTATAGTGTAGTCATGGTAACCAGTATAGTGTAGTCATGGTAATCAGTATAGTGTAGTCATAGTAACCAGTATAGTGTAGTCATGGTAACTGTACCTGGTCCCAGACTGAAGCAGGAATGTACATCCTGGAACAAGCACTACACTTCTGGCCGGAGTACTCGAAGGAAGCGAGGATGGTGCCGTTAATAACACTCTCCACGCAGGCAGTAGGGTGGACCAGGTGGTAGTTCTTCCCTCCTGTCTCTCCAACTAGTCGCGGGTAGGTTCTAAACGGGGGTTTATACATTATACAATATAAACATTATACAATATACATTATACATTATAGTAAATTTACTCTCGCTTTTAGTAACTTTAACAAGCTTCCCACAATAATCTATAATAGCATTTCCTTCTTTGAATTATCAATCAGTTTAAATGTTTGAAAACTGGTGGACATTACAAACACAATGTGGTATACATAGTTATTATCTATAATATAGTAGTATTAGTAGTATTATTATTATTAATATTATTAGTAGTATTAGTAGTATTAGCAGTAGTATTAGTAGTATTAGTAGTAGTATTAGTAGTATTAGTATTATTAGAAGTATTAGTAGTATTAGCAGTAGTATTAGTATTATTAGAAGTATTAGTAGTATTAGCAGTAGTATTAGTATTATTAGAAGTATTAGTAGTATTAGCAGTAGTATTAGTATTATTAGAAGTATTAGTAGTATTAGCAGTAGTATTAGTATTATTAGAAGTATTAGTAGTATTAGCAGTAGTATTAGTATTATTAGAAGTATTAGTAGTATTAGCAGTAGTATTAGTATTATTAGAAGTATTAGTAGTATTAGCAGTAGTATTAGTATTATTAGAAGTATTAGTAGTATTAGCAGTAGTATTAGTATTATTAGAAGTATTAGTAGTATTAGCAGTAGTATTAGTATTATTAGAAGTATTAGTAGTACTAGCAGGAACCCGTCTAACCCTAAAATGGTGTCAAGACTCAAGAGACTAAAACAATTATTACCTATTTAATTCGCGTTTTTGACACCACTTGGGGTACCAAATTTTGGGCTCTAAAACTCCTATTTCTTGGCCAATTTTTTATTTTTTCATGCTGATTTGGAGGCCATTAAAGCATTTGACCCAGTCAAAAAAGTTTCAGTTGTAACTCTTTGACGGTTTTTGCAGAAATTCGCGTTAAAGTTGATGCCGTGGTGTCAGTAAAATGGCAACGATAAATATATATATATCGTCTCGCTTTATATATAGTAAGATTAGCAGTAGTATTAGTATTATTAGAAGTATTAGTAGTATTAGCAGTTGTATTAGTATTGTTATAAGTATTAGTAGTATTAGTATTAGTACCTGTAGTTCTCTATATTCTCCCCGACCCCTCTCCACAATAGTTAGTATAAATTATATAGTAATATTAGTAGTATTATTATTATTAACAGTATTAGTAGTAGTATTAGTATTAGTACCTGTAGTTCTCTATATTCTCCCCGACCCCTCTCCACAATGTGCGGAATGTAGGTGAGGAGCCTGTAAAGCTGATCCCTGCTAAGTCCCTGTGAGCTACTACTGTGTCCCCGAACAGAGGGCCATCTGATGGCACGAAGTTACACACTCCTGTAGGGGTAAATAGTGGGGTAAATAGTGGGGTAAATAGTGGGGTAAATAGTGGGGTAAATAGTGGGGTAAATAGTGGGTAAATAGTGGGGTAACTAGTGGGGTAAATAGTGGGCTAAATAGTGGGGTAAATAGTGGGGTAAATAGTGGGTAAATAGTGGGTAACTAGTGGGTAAATAGTGGGGTAAATAGTGGGTAAATAGTGGGTAACTAGTGGGTAAATAGTGGCTAAATAGTGGGGTAAATAGTGGGGTAAATAGTGGGTAAATAGTGGGTAAATAGTGGGTAAATAGTGGGTAAATAGTGGGGTAAATAGTGGGGTAAATAGTGGGTAACTAGTGGGGTAAATAGTGGGTAAATAGTGGGTAACTAGTGGGGTAAATAGTGGGGTAAATAGTGGGTAAATAGTGGGGTAAATAGTGGGGTAAATAGTGGGGTAAATAGTGGGGTAAATAGTGGGGTAAATAGTGGGGTAAATAGTGGGTAAATAGTGGGGTAAATAGTGGGGCAAATAGTGGGTAAATAGTGGGTAACTAGTGGGGTAAATAGTGGGGTAAATAGTGGGTAAAGAGTGGGTAACTAGTGGGGTAAATAGTGGGGTAAATAGTGGGTAAATAGTGGGGTAAATAGTGGGGTAAATAGTGGGGTAAATAGTGGGGTAAATAGTGGGGTAAATAGTGGATAAATAGTGGGGTAAATAGTGGGGTAAATAGTGGGGTAAATAGTGGGTAAATAGTGGGGTAAATAGTGGGGTAAATAGTGGGGTAAATAGTGGGGTAAATAGTGGGGTAAATAGTGGGGTAAATAGTGGGTAAATAGTGGGGTAAATAGTGGGGTAAATAGTGGGGTAAATAGTGGGGTAAATAGTGGGGTAAATAGTGGGGTAAATAGTGGGGTAAATAGTGGGGTAAATAGTGGGGTAAATAGTGGGTAAATAGTGGGTAAATAGTGGGTAAATAGTGGGGTAAATAGTGGGGTAAATAGTGGGGTAAATAGTGGGGTAAATAGTGGGTAACTAGTGGGGTAAATAGTGCGTAAATAGTGGGTAAATAGTGGGTAAATAGTGGGGTAAATAGTGGGTAAATAGTGGGTAACTAGTGGGGTAAATAGTGGGGTAAATAGTGGGTAAATAGTGGGGTAAATAGTGGGTAAATAGTGGGTAAATAGTGGGTAAATAGTGGGGTAAATAGTGGGTAAATAGTGGGTAAATAGTGGGGTAAATAGTGGGTAAATAGTGGGGTAAATAGTGGGGTAAATAGTGGGGTAAATAGTGGGTAAATAGTGGGTAAATAGTGGGTAAATAGTGGGGTAAATAGTGGGTAAATAGTGGGTAAATAGTGGGGTAAATAGTGGGTAAATAGTGGGTAAATAGTGGGTAAATAGTGGGTAAATAGTGGGTAAATAGTGGGGTAAATAGTGGGTAAATAGTGGGGTAAATAGTGGGGTAAATAGTGGGGTAAATAGTGGGTAAATAGTTGGGTAAATAGTTGGTAAATAGTGGGTAAATAGTGGGTAAATAGCGGGTAAATAGTGGGTAAATAGTGGGGTAAATAGTGGGGTAAATAGTGGGGTAAATAGTGGGTAAATAGTGGGGTAAATAGTGGGGTAAATAGTGGGGTAAATAGTGGGGTAAATAGTGGGGTAAATAGTGGGGTAAATAGTGGGGTAAATAGTGGGTAAATAGTGGGGTAAATAGTGGGTAAATAGTGGGTAAATAGTGGGTAAATAGTGGGGTAAATAGTGGGTAAATAGTGGGTAAATAGTGGGGTAAATAGTGGGGTAAATAGTGGGTAAATAGTGGGTAAATAGTGGGTAAATAGTGGGTAAATAGTGGGGTAAATAGTGGGGTAAATAGTGGGGTAAATAGTGGGTAAATAGTGGGGTAAATAGTGGGTAAATAGTGGGTAAATAGTGGGTAAATAGTGGGTAAATAGTGGGTAAATAGTGGGGTAAATAGTGGGGTAAATAGTGGGTAAATAGTGGGTAAATAGTGGGGTAAATAGTGGGTAAATAGTGGGGTAAATAGTGGGTAAATAGTGGGTAAATAGTGGGTAAATAGTGGGGTAAATAGTGGGTAAATAGTGGGGTAAATAGTGGGTAACTAGTGGGGTAAATAGTGGGGTAAATAGTGGGGTAAATAGTGGGTAAATAGTGGGTAAATAGTGGGTAAATAGTGGGGTAAATAGTGGGGTAAATAGTGGGTAAATAGTGGGGTAAATAGTGGGGTAAATAGTGGGGTAAATAGTGGGGTAAATAGTGGGGTAAATAGTGGGTAAATATTGGGTAACTGAAGAGGAAACTCTTGTCAGAATATTGAGTTTTATCATTAATACCCTGACAGATTATTGAGAGTTTTATCATTAATACCCTGACAGATTATTGAGAGTTTTATCATTAATACCCTGACAGATTATTGAGTTTTATCATTAATACCCTGACAGATTATTGAGAGTTTTATCATTAATACCCTGACAGATTATTGAGAGTTTTATCATTAATACTCTGTCGGATTATTGAGAGTTTTATCATTAATACCCTGACAGATTATTGAGAGTTTTATCATTTTAACTCTGTCAGATTATTGAGAGTTTTATCATTAATACCCTGACAGATTATTGAGAGTTTTAACATTAATACCCTGACAGATTATTGAGAGTTTTATCATTTATACCCTGACAGATTATTGAGAGTTTTATCATTAATACCCTGACAGATTATTGAGAGTTTTATCATTAATACTCTGTCAGATTATTGAGTTTTATCATTTAAACTCTGTCAGAATATTGAGTTTTATCAAATTTAAACTCTGTCGGATTATTGAGAGTTTTATCATTAATACCCTGACAGATTATTGAGTTTTATCATTAATACCCTGACAGATTATTGAGTTTTATCATTAATACCCTGACAGATTATTGAGAGTTTTATCATTAATACCCTGACAGATTATTGAGTTTTATCATTAATACCCTGACAGATTATTGAGTTTTATCATTAATACCCTGACAGATTATTGAGTTTTATCATAAATTAAACTCTGTCAGATTATTGAGTTTTATCATTAATACCCTGACAGATTATTGAGAGTTTTATCATTAATACCCTGACAGATTATTGAGTTTTATCATTAATACCCTGACAGATTCATTATAAAAACAAGTACCCACCATCAGGCATGCCAGCCTCCTGAAGTAGCTGGTAGAGCACGTAGCCTGCAGCCATAGCAGTGTCACATGGTTTATACATCACGCTGTTACCCATGAGAACAGGTGTACCCCACAGCTGACCACCAATAGCTGTGAAGTTAAACGGTGCTATCGCAGCGATAAATCCCTGGGGAGAAATATTATTGTAGATTAGGTATTTTATGTAATATCTGGGTTGGAATATTTTCTGTTAGTCGCATTGTTGTAATGATTCTGGGGCAAAATTTGTAGTGTTCCTGTTTATTGCGACAAGGCTCTTATCTGGATAAGGAATTGTTTGGGTATTTTAAATTGAACATTCCTGAGTTCTCCATAAATTTATTTCATAGGAGCTGATCATGACACTCCTTTTAAAAGAAGCAAACGTTTTTGAACAGAAAATGCAATAAACTCTGATAACTGTAAACTAATGGTTTGCAGGTGCGCATTATATTATGTGCATATTATATTATGCCAGAAGAATTTGTAATATGTAAACTGATAAATCTAATTATGAAACCAGACATTACGGATACCAAGAAACACACCAACACAGGGTAAATATGTGCACAATAACACTTCACACCAAACAGCAAGTACTAAGTGTGTGATAATGTGTTGGAGTTATAAGTGTGGGGAGTATATATATACACATATAATGTGGGTGTAGGAGACTACTGCTACGAGGTGCTGAATGCTGAAAGCAAGCTATGGAAAGTTAGCGTTCTTAAATTCAAGGAAATTACTTATTTTACTGTGAAATTGGGACGTTTTAAGCGATCTATAAACGGTATACGGTGCAGACGTGAAGTGATAATATTAAATCACACAATTACAGAACACCCACCCCCGGCGCGGCCCCTACCCCCCCCCCCCCCCCCCCCCCCCCTCCCCCGGCCCCGGCCCCGGCCCCTGGAAACCTACCTCTAGTCCTCTCCATTCGATTCTGTTCCAGATACCCTTGCTGTGATGTTCAGGCTGCATATTGTACAAGTCCTCTGCGTAATTAACTGCAAACCTGCACGATAATAATAATGTTACGTTTGAGTAGTACCCAATGGGTACAGTTACCATGACTACACTATACTGCTTAATATGGCTTTTGAATGGTGTTTTGTTAATTTTTAAAAAGTTTTTAATAACTCGTGTTAGTACAATAATATACAACAGTATGGTGCTTATATAACAGGTGTGTACCTGTAGAAGTCTATGGTCTCCCCTACGGCGTCTATATCTGCCTGCTGCAGTGTTTTACTCTGAAAGGATCTTTAAATAGTCACAATGGTCACTAAAGATTACTGCTTTCTTCTACAATCTACATAATTATTTATGTGTTATTAAATTATTACTATCAATTGTAGTTTCAACCAAAGAATAAAAACAACGGTTATCAACGAAAACTTTACAACAGAAAATAAACTTAGCAAGTAAATTTGGCGTATAACATATATTATAGAAGCAGTAGTGTGTTATTTACGGTCCTTATTGTCTTATTACTATAATAAACGAGGTAATGATCTGTAGTTGACGTTGAAATTACCAACACGTGCTAAATAATGGACGTGCTAATTAATTAGCACGTGCTGATTAATTAGCATGTGCTAATTACCAGCAGGTGCTAATTAATGCTTTATTTAACACGTACCTGACCCAGAATTGTTGTTGCCAGGATCTTAGCTCTGTATTTACCCTCCAACAACTCAGCAGCTCTTAGGAACACTGCAGCTCTGATATAAATTTAATTAAACAATTGATTTAATCAAACAATGTTTGATTGCTTAGAAAATAATCATTTTATAGAAAGCAAAGGCGAGGAAGCTTAGAAAAGTTAAGGAGATGGAATTGAGGCACTGCCAAATGAATTACGAGAGGCGAGAAATGAATTAAATAAATAAAGAATAGTTTCGGGTCATTACTTACCATTTACTTAATAACTTAACATAAAGTGATTAAACTGATTTAAAACCGACAACAAATACAGTAAAATAAGTAACCTGTGTTGTGTAGTCATGGTAACTGTACATGTGTAGTGTAGTCATGGTTACTGTACCTGTGTAGTGTAGTCATGGTAACTGTACCTGTGTAGTGTAGTCATGGTTATTGTACCTGTGTAGTGTAGTCATGGTAACTGTACCTGTGTAGTGTAGTCATGGTAACTGTACCTGTGTAGTGTAGTCATGGTAACTGTACCTGTGTAGTGTGTAGTGTAGTCATGGTAACTGTACCTGTGCTCCCAGGGGGTGAGCTCCCATTTAGATCTGGCAGCAAGGCAGGACTCAATAGCGTCTGATATTTGGGACTTATCAGCGTAGCAGAACTTAGCTACGTTAACTTGGTGGTCGTGTGGCTGAGGGAAGTACAATGTATAATGTATAGGGTATAATGTACAATGTATAATGTATAATGTATAATATATACTGTACAATACATAATGTATAATGTACAATGTACAATGTAACTCAGATGGGGTACAATGTAGTGGTTAACGATAACAATATTTGTAACGGAGAGTATTTGGCACATGTAGCGATTTAAGAGCGAGTAACTGTTCTTATCTTCAATAATTCTGTTCAATGATCAATAGTTTCAAGATAAAGAAGAGAGCAATGAAACTTACAATCTTCTGATAGTGTACGTTATCAGTTCTTATCTCTTTTCCTCCTATCACAATTGGAATATCCATAGGTTCCTTTCTGAGCTGGTCCACTTCCTGTTGGAGAATGTGAGGTTACGTGTCTAGTGTACAGATTATTAAATGTATCTTTAACTGTCACTATAGCTAGAAAGCTAGAAATCAAATGTGAACAATGATTAACCATACCAAAAGTTTAACTTTTAGCTAAAATAAATAAGCAGACATTTTCTGCTTATTTATTTTAGCTACAATTAAAACTAATAACCACAAATCCACGCGAAGGGAGATAGGTACCTGCTTGACGTCCTGAAGAAGCTTGCTACCAGGCATGAAGTTAGAGAAGGGAGCATTATCTACAGCTGGGATCTGAACTGAGGGGTTTGACATGCTCCGTACACTGAATAAGGGGACTCATCAGAGAGAAACTCGGAGTATGACATGAATTATTTTGAGATAACTCTACGTGCACACTCCAATATTAGCTACAATCACTGCAACAAGGCATGAATACATTGCAAACAGCTTGACATGTACAAGTGAGCACATAGTAAGTACAATAACTTATATATTATACATAAATACAAACAATATACACATAATATCTCATATTATATATTATGAAATATTATTTTTACATTCTTACCATTGTAGAGCGGACCACTGAACAGCTCGCTTCATCATTTCTAACCTAAAAATTAGAATAGGTAAGGAAGTGATAACTTACAATACAGAAACAAAATTAAAGAAATCGTAGAAATGGGAGCTTCGAAAAAGACTTAAAAACTTCAAAAACACAAAATTATCAAAGTGGAAGGTGCGAAATCTAAACAGTGAACACACGCGGCAAAGTAACCATGCCATCATTTTAAAGGGTTTAAACAAACAAAACTCCCAGAGAGAGAGCGAACTAAAGCAGGAAGAGTTAAGGTTTTAAGTTTGTGACGAGTAAATTCAGTTCCTATTAGAAGACCGTGAGAGAGTGACATGTAAACTGGTTAGTGGGGATGTAATGGGATAATTACATCAAATTATGGGCTGTTCAGCTCAGTGTGTTCCAGGAAAATAAATATATTCAGAAACTTCATATTATATTTTACATAATATGATTATTATTTGTTGCTTCGAGATACTAATAATCGTAATTTGAATATGCCACATTACACAGCTACAGTTTGATAATACCAATACGATTTGAAAGGTATAATTTGATAGTTCTCGGTACGTGGAAACTCTACTTTACAAGGTCTCCAGCGATGAAATACTACATCCCGTTGAGAACGTTAGGGACCTCGGAGTTATGGTATCAAGCGATCTGAACTGGAAGAAAGCTAGAATCACACTATCATGGGTGTTTAGTGTCTTCAAACCTCGCGATAGGACCGTAATGACTACCCTATATAAGTCTTTGGTCAGAAGCATACTAGAGTACTGTTGTCCACTGTGGGACCCTGTTAAGGTGACTGAGATCCAGCTTTTGGAACAGACATGGTACCCGAGCAATCATCCCTTCCCTTTCTAGGTTGAGTTCCTTGAGCAACAAGACACTCTATGATAGCTCATCTGCTGTAAGAGGACCAAAACTATAGAACAAAGTGCCTGACAGTATTAAAGCTGAAGCTATGTTTGAGTCGTTTAAAGTTAGTTTGTCCAAGTTTCTTGCTTTGATACCGGACAACCTTCCGATTTCCGATTATAGCTGCAGCTGGTCAAATTCCCTGGTAGACTACTCGCCATCGAGGTGGTCAGATCAGAAATCTGATGACCCTTCCTGCTACGAGGATAAACTCTACCAAAGTAACCAAAGTTACTATTTGAGATAGTACTTGGGCACTCAGTCGAAAATTTGCTTTAATAAATTTTGCTAACAAATTACGCTTACACAAAAACATAGCTTTAAAAGTTTTCACAAAAGGTACACCACCCACTCGAATTAAATTTTCTATGTTGCGACACCAGAACAATGATCAGAGATACTTTCTTCAATTAGATTTGTGTTGCTCCTCCAGTATTCCTGCACGAAACAACAGAAGATTTGATTAAAATAGAGGATTTACCAGGAATCTGGCCAAACGGATTGGATCTACGAAATGGGTAAGTTTATCATCTTTTCATCTAGGTGTATTGTAATCATGTTTTTATAATATTACTTAGTAAATTTCTAAAACTTTGCGAACACGATTATTTGCCTATTTTGAAGGTGTTTACAACTGGGGCAGCACATCACGTGACAATGTTGCCATGGTAACGTATGTATCACGTGACACTGTTGCCATGGTAACGTATTTATCACGTGACACTGTTGCCATGGTAACAGTGTCAGATCTAATTTCTAATGAATTCTTCAAAGCCTCAACACGATCCATGCTCAAAGCAGTCCTCAACCTCTTCAACCACTGCCTAAGCCTATCAATTTACCCATGGACTTCATCAGTAGTTACACCACTACACAAAAAAGGTGATATCTATGATCCTAACAACTACAGAGCCATCGCTGTAGCGAGCAATCTCGGAAAGCTCTTTGCAAGCATATTGCTGAAAATATTGATATCATTCCGTGATCAATGTGATCCTGATACAGCCAACCAACTAGGTTTCTGTAAAGACGCACAGACAGCAGACCACATTTTCACACTTTCAACCTGCGTGGAAAAGTATGTCACCAAGAAACGCCAAAGGCTATACACATGCTTTGTCGATTATGCCAAAGCGTTTGATTCCATCTGTCGTGAGGCACTCCTATACAAGTTGTGGAAAATGGGTATTCAAGGGAGATTCTTTGAGTGCATTAAGTTCATGTACTCAAACTCCTCAGCCAAAGTGAAGCTACTAGACAAGCTGTCACAGAAGATCGACATAATATGTGGTACCGAGCAAGGACACCCCATGTCCCCTGAACTGTTCAAATGCTTTGTCCACCAGCTTTCACATGATCTCAACAACATCGAAGGAGTGAAAGTCCCTGTCCTAAATGATACAGATATAACTCATCTGCTATGGGCAGACGACCTTGTCCTTCTAGCCCTCAACAAACACAGTCTCCAACAAATGCTTGATGTCCTAAACAATTACTGCTCAGAATGGGGCCTGACAGTAAACGTTGGAAAAACTTCAGTCCTTGTGTTTAACCCAACAGGAAGGCATCTGAAGGAAAGTCATGAGTTCAAACTGGGAGAACAACAGATCCCCTCCGGGAGAGAGTACTGTTACCTTGGCATTACATTTACTCTGAGCGGATCACTTAAGCTAACACAACAAAAGCTGAGGCAAAAAGTTATTTCTCTTTGAAAAGCTACATTGATACCCGCCACATCAGGAAATCTATACTGTTCAAGCTATATGATACACTTATTGTACCTGTGGTGTCGTATGGTTGCCAAGTGTGGCTGCCAAGCACAGCTCTGTTCCGCAACTTCCCCACAAACACGAGCACCACACCAGAAACAGGAAACGTGTGTACACTCATTGCCAGGGACCCTCTAGAGAACTTTCATCTGTCTCTTTTGAAATGGACCTTAGGGGTGAGGAAGTCAACATCCAATGCTGCGATATGGGGTGACACAGGCAGGCATCCACTAGGCATCACGCTATCAAAGCAAGTGTTCAACTACAAAGAAAGACTTGAACAAATGGTTGTAGACGGTCGTGACTGCTTTGCTAGACACGCTTTCGAAGAGCAGGCGACCCTAAACCTGAGCTGGTTCTCCACTCTCGAGCAGATGCAAGAAACCATCGAGGCATCAGAGAGAAACCAAGGATTAAGACCAAGCCAGATTAGAAAGAGTTTGCAAAAGTGGTTTATAAACTCATGGGAAACAGAAAGGACATCTAACAGAAAACTATCATTCTACAACTTAGTGAAGAGAAAGTTTGCTCAAGAGACGTATCTAGCCCTTGATCTTAAACCTAACTGCTCAAAGAAGATCGCGCAATTCAGAAGCAGCTCCCACCGCTTTAACGTTGAAACTGGTCGCTACGGCAAAAAGCGGTTTAACATAAAACATCGGGCCTGCAGACATTGCTGCTCAATGACGATGACTTGTTAGATCTTCTCTATGAGCTACCAGGGGCCTATCCAGTGATAGAAGATGAGCATCACATCCTCTACGAATGCCCCCTATACGAAGACCTACGCAAAAACCTGCATCAACGAACGAGGGACCTGTTAGTAATGAGAGAAGAACCGGGAGAAATCTTCGACGACTCAACAACAATTAGAGACATTGGACGTTTTTTAAATAAGGTCGATGAACGGAGGTTCCCGAAGAAAAATACTGAATGAATGTCGTGTTTTGTATATATTTTGATAAGTGTGTGGACATTGTATGATACTTTCTTTGTCATTGTTGAGTGCTCTTGGCTGAGTTTTTTCTGTATACGACTGTGCTATCTGTGCTATATTCTTTTACAAGGCTATCTATTTTTACCACCTTGTTTGGTTATTCGTTACATTGGGGTAGTTTTGAATATTAAACCTTCTATTCCTATATTGGTCAGACACGGCATCTGCCGTTTGACCCAATTTTGTTTAATTCCTGTTTAATTCCTGTTTAATTCCTGGTAACGCATGTATCACGTGACACTGTTCCCATGTCTAACACTGTTGCTGTTCAAATTAATATTGATCATTATCAGATCACCACAATACGATTGCAGGTGATGACGGTGCAAGTAATAACGCAGCACAAAAAGAGCTCTTGGTAAATTCGAAAGCAACACAAACTGTGCAGTACACAGCTCTATGTAATTGTCAACAAAATACTTCAGCTGGTTTGTGGATTTATGAATACACAATAATCAGACTGTTACTTTGTCCCGACTAACCTGCAGTCTAGTGCTAAAACATGAAAAAACAAGGTTAATGATCAACATATTATTTCAAACAACACCCTCACAAGTATCAACACTCAGAGCTAGGAGACACAAGAGATAATATGCAGCCTGTGTTACCTAGACCTGCCAGACCTGGATCAGACCACCTGCAGCCTGGTTACCATGGTTACCAGCAGCCTGGTTACCAGCAGCCTGGTTACCAGCAGCCTGGTTACCAGCAGCCAGGATACCATGGTGACCAGCAGCCTGGATACCATGGTCACCAGCAGCCTGGTCACCATGGTCACCAGCATCCGTACTTCAGTTCTCCTCCTCCTCCTCAGCAACAGCAGTGGCCACATCCCAGATTATCTCAGTTCATGCCACCCCAGATGAAGTACCGACCAAACCCTCGCCAAGATCCTCCTCCTCCTGGTTACCATGGTCACCAACCAAGTGGGCATGGTCCACCACCTCCTCAACCTTTAGATGCTAATGGAAGAAGAATGTGTGAGTTTTGCCTTATTTTACTTGGTGCAGATAACAACATTTCTTTTTTCAGTCAGACTTGATTAGGGACAATCTTTGAGTCATGTCCGATCAGAAGCACCAACTAAAGAGAAATAAAATTTGTAATTGTGACTCATCAATTTGTTATAAGGTAATATTGAAGTCAAGTTTCGACCTGATGACATAATGGTAGCCACATTTCCACGAAGTGGCACAACCTGGACAATCGAAATAGTCCGACAATTACATCTAAAATATATTAATGATCAGTATCATCCCTTGAATGATGAGAGACACAAAGGTAAAATCAGATTCAACTTGATAACACAAATTGACTGCATCTTTTCTGCTCTTACAAGTTTTAGAAATGCGTCTCTGACCGTGTTTTGTAACTGAGCCCTTTGAATTTTCTAGAATATCCTCTACTTGACTGATTCTATTTTTACACCACATTATGTTGCAAATAATATTACATTGAAATCAAACCTTAGACTCTGCCAAGACTCATATGAAAATGATACAGGAGGAATGTTTTTGACACCCCAAGTCACAAAAGAAATGGTAGAAGCCCTAAAGTCACCGAGGATACTAAAAACACACAGTTACTACTCTGATTTAGGATTTGGTGAAACTTTTTCCAATTGCAAGGTATTTAGACATTAATTCCCATAATATTTGACAATCTATTATTTAAGATACTTTTATTTCACATGAAATTTCCAATGACTTCCACTGATCCCGAACAGTGATCACACTAGACATATTACACAGTACACACTGGCCAGTTATGTAGTTTTGAATTGAAATGTTTGCTTCAAATTCAGATTATACATGTGATCAGAGATCCAAAGGATGTGTACTGCTCTATTTATGAACATGCCAAGCAGATGCATTTCCATGGACAGCAAAGTTCATCAAATGATGAGTCAGAGAAGTTCCAGAAATTTCTTAATGGTTTTATCCAGGTATGTTTCAACAAAAATTGCTAAACATAGTCTTTAACAATCCATTTACTGTAAAGTTTGGAGGAAGGAAATATCCACAGTAAGGAGGCGGAGGGTTAACGTTATATTTGGATTTTGATTGTTCGCATTATGTATCGGGGAATGGATTTGGCCACAGTAATTGAGATTTAATCCTGGGGTTTTACTATGCTAACAAACTTAATTACAGGAGAAAAGATATCAAGGTCCAGGACCAGCAAATTGGTGTCTCTTCACCGAGGAGTACTTGAATAATGAGAGAAATTTGAAAATCTTGCACATAAAGTATGAAGACCTCAAACAAAATCCTGAAGCAACTATCCTAAAAATAGGCTTGTTTCTGGGCTACAGTCGAATGACCACCGTAGATGTACAAGAAATAATGGAATTGACCTCCTATAACAACATGAGGACAACACACTCAAATGTAGTTCATCAAAATACACAAGGAAAAAGTGGTACATACAAAGATAAACTCACAGTAGGAAATGTCAAGGACATAAACAACAGCATAGCTAACTTTTTGGAAAAATCTGAAGGTTTGGAAGTGGAACTAAGTATGTATATCCATCCAGAAAAATTATGATGATGACTATTTTGGGCCAGTGATGTTTCAACTTAACCTGATAACCTTACAGAGTAGATTAGTTAGACAAAAATATATAACATTGCTAAATGTATACTCAGATTAAACATTAAATTTGTAATGCAGTGTTTTGATAATTATTACAGAACTACAATTTAGATCAAACAAAAGGATTAAATCTATTTATTAACAAGTTTATTATCGGATGTCTACTTATATTTATTATGATATCGCGCCTAAGCAGCAAAAGAGTTATTTATATATTTTAAAATTTATTTTAGTATCGCAAAAATGATGTAAAGTTTTTAATATGACGTAGAATTAAAGCTATTTCCGTACAGCCTAAGTATGCTCGTTAGAAAAACTATGAACAATGCAAGCTTTTTTTTTAATTTTTGTTAGTCGGCCAGTAATTTTGGCACTCTGGACATCATCCTTTCAAAATTGAAAATCCATTTTAAGATTTATATGAAAGTTTAAGGCCGATTTCGATCAAAAATTCCCGGACAAATTCCCGGCAAAAATTGAAAATCGGCCGGGGCTGGGGCCAGGAAGAAATAGCTCCCCCGGTGCCGGGATTTCACGGTGCCGGAAATCCCGGTCGATTACTGTAGTCGGCTGACATCTTGGGTTGTACTGGATGTAACAAGTTTATTATCTGATGTCTACGTATATTTATTATGATATAATTATTCATTGTAATGGCAATAAAATTTAAATTTTGTTTTACTTAAAAATTTTGTTTTACTTATCATTATTCATTGTAATGGCAATACAATTTAAATTTTGTTTTACTTATTATCCCAAGCACAAACCATATGTACTCTAAAAAGGAAAAGTATGTACATCGGATATCTGATGTGAATTTATGTGACATCAAATTATTTTAGTTCAACTGTACCAATCAAAGTGGACAACATATCAATTGCAGGATAGTAAGTAATGATACAATTATGATTTATCGAACAAATTACCATTGAATGCATTAACGCAAATAAACAATTCAAACAATATATACATTCAATCAAATGAATTGACGGATGTTACTCGTCTAAATTTCTTCGAAGTAGCGCGCGCCGCTTTCTTCTCGAAAGGCAAGTGCTACGAAGTAGCACGCGCCGGGCCAGATCATTAACAATGGTCAATCAAATGAAGTGTTGCAATTGGCAGATACATAGTATTTTTTTTATTGAAATCTTTCAATTATTATCATCAGAATTTATTACAATATCAATGTTGTATAGAATTTCTAAAAATGGACTAGAGAAACCAAGAAATGCCTTGACAAGTGTACAGCGATGATAACAATCAGGGGACACCAATACACCCAAATAACCAAACAAAAGGCCTCGAGAGGCCTGATGAAAAGTCGAGCAATTACATTGGGCCCCAATTGTATACATAATATTGTAACATATAATTTTTTTAAATAAAATGTTTCAAACAGTATACTGGTATACACATAATGTCACAATGACCCTTCAAAAACTCAATATTTTTAAAATCACCCTTGGCCTTGCGGCTCCAAGTTCAAATCTAGACTGTCTATATTGACAAAGTTCTTTCTCGCCCCTCTGTCTCTGTAACATAGGTAATATATCTAACATAACAGTAATTTTCCATTGCTACCAATATCATTTGAAATATATATATCAACAATCAAATATAGATAAATTAAGATTCAGCTTGTTCATGCTCTAGTACTCTCTAGAATTGATTATTGCAATAGCGTATATTTTGGACTGAGCTCTTATGATTTAAGTCGTTTACAGAAGGTGCAAAATTCTGCTGTAAGATTTATTTTCGGGAGAGGAAGAAAGGCACACACTACTCCACTACTTAAGAAAGTTCATTTTCTACCAGTTAGATTTAGAATAGATTTTAAGATTGCCCTACTTGCTCCAATATCCTTACATGAGGGTTACACATGTTCATCAAGGAAACCCTGCCTTCTAATCTGTCAGGCAGACCCACCTGACAATCACAACACTAGATCAACCAAAATTTTTAACATCTTAACCCCAAAGTTCAGAATGACTGATTTTACTACTAGTGTAATGTGCTTGCGAGGAAAGCTAAAACGTGCGCTACTAGCTAATCAACATACCCACGCCCTGCTTGATTGGACCGTAAAAGACTTTGACTGCACAAATATTATTTTCATAACATTATAACTGGCTGGTCACACACATCTGAATTAAATTACCCTAGGCTACTGTTTTCCAAGTCTTGTCCTGTGAGTAAAGTACGTGTGAGAAAGTTTTAATAAAATGAATGTATATTTTTGAATTTTTAAATTTTAATTTGAGAATGAAGTATAAAGAAATTTTTAATTAGCATTGTATAGTTTAAAATATTTATAGCTTATTATAACCATTGATAAATTTAAGCCATAATCTTTCGCCTGCTCTCCAATATCCACCTTGAAGGTGCATTTTTAATCCTTGAACTACACAATATAAAATCAAGCATGTTTTAGTGTAGACTTTTTGTCACAACAAGACTGCAACCTAGATAGTAAAAACTTTAAACAGAACCCCTAATGTCTGCTAACAATTTTTCGTATAGTCCTAATGTGAGCCTTGTCTCTAAAAACTTAACTGAACTAGCGTTTTGGTGTGTGCAAAAGCTCCCAGGCACGCGCATTCCTTGCCCCGTTAGTTACCTGTCCTTCCAAAACCAAACAAGCAGTCAAGGACAAAAAGTCATACACCAAATGGGCATTATATTTTATGAATTGTTTTACATCTTTTTATTCTGTAAAATGTGCTAAAATTAAATTTCTTGTTTCATTGAATTTCTTGTTTCATTGCCTACAAGTGTTTAAATAATATAGCTCCTCCTTACTTAAAAGAGTTGATATCTCCTAGGCAGCAAAGTTTTAAAAATGTACGTCTTGATAATGATTATTTTTACCTTAGTTTTCCGCCCTCTCCTAACTATGTAAACACAGAGAAAGCTTTAAGTCACTGTGCAGTTAAAGTATTTAATTCCTTGCCATATGACATAAGATCAGCTGAGTCAGTTACATCTTTCAAGACCAAACTTAAAACATACTTCTTTTCTCTAGCATTTGATTGATTTTGCATTTACATAGGTAATATGAACTTGTCATGTCTAATTTTCAATTAAACTAAGCTCAGTTAATGTAAGAGCCGCTTTAGAAAGCACTGGAGTTTATCTCCAGGATTAAATTATATCGAGTTATATGATTTAGCTATAAGGCGGTTTATAAATGTTGTAATTATTATTTTTATTATATATTATATGTAAATAATATATATTTACTCCATCATAGGGGTAAGGATGAAATTGTGTGAGACTTCTGACAGAGGGGTTTCATACTTTTTGTCAATATTCTCAATTCTCGCCTTTGTAACCACGTAGAGCAATAAGAATCGTTATCAATATTGCAAATCTTATCCTTACCTCATCCTCAAAACTAAAACCGCTTCGTTGTTTAGACGTACCTACAACCTACAGATCTAAGAAATACAACCGAAATGAAAATACTATATTTAACAGTCCCTTCAAGTTATTAAAACAAAAAATTTGCAACAAAACAAAAAATAAACAATTGTCACCTTTAAAATATAATAAAAAATATAATATATAAAATGTTGTTCAATTTTTTTAATTTTATCTAGACACTTATTTTACTTCGAGTATTCCAACAGCCATATTGTTACACAAGTGCAACCAGCCAATTACAGGAAGCCGAAGGATTTTTTAGCCAGTGACGGTTAAGGTAGTATGTACCATACTTTCTTCGCCCGAGACTTTGCTGCAATGTGCAGCTCCTCATTTAACCCTCACACCCGATTTCTCGAGTATTCGGCTGTAGACCGGGGGCTGCATAGACCACTCACGATCCTTAGCTGAATGTCAACGACACTCACCCCACGACCAGGCAGGCAGTGGGATTTGAACCCGCAACCTCACGATTGCAAAGCTGGCTAACCAAGTGCGCTACCTGGCCGCACGATGGGACCACTGGAAGCGCATTGCACTACAGATTTTTTCGCGCGCTGAGTGTTGCCAGGCAAATATTTCATCATGATTCCTATTGACCACCAGCCCTATCTTTACTTAGCATATCACTAGTTCATGTTTCAGTTTTAAAGAGAATCCTTTGTTCTGCATCCCAGTATAAATTTGATTAGTTAACTTTTTTCATAAAGTCGACTATTAAATGTGCGAAAGTAACCAATTTTCGACAGACCACTGCAAGTGAAGCTTACATAGTAGGCTCCCAGAAAACTTAGAAGATATTAGACATCATCTCAACTGTATGTGTGCAAATTTTCAGGATGCTACTTTGTGATCGTTTTGAGATAGAGATGATCAAAGACGATGTTTCTGTGTAATTTTAATACATTCGCGTGCAATTTTTAACGCCAATTCTACCAATATAAGAATTGAAACTATTATTAATTTGATCGATTAGTGCATTGTAGCACAATATAATAACACATAGTATCAAAATGATCAGTTACCACAATGGCTTGATCATGAGAGCAGAGGACTACTCCAAAGAACAGATACTAGTAAATGCTTTTGCTCTATCTATATTATTTATAAATATAAGGTAAATACAATACCTTATTGAAATAAACAAATAAAGTCAGTAGTTAGATTAAAACACGAACACAGATACAATCATTGACATTATTACTAACACGTAATTTGCCATAACTCCGGATTAGAACTATGTTCCCAAGACCTAATTATTCTCAAACCCCATCGGTATTGAAAGTCTGAAAATAATTCAAAACGACCACTACTTAATATCATTATGTTAAACAAACAGTAAAAAGAGTGATGTGAATCCTATCTCAGAAAATGGATTCCATGATGCGTTTGATATTGGTTACGCGAACCAGGATTTGCTCCTTGATGAGCATTGTAGCGTTTCCCTTCAAAAAGCATTACTGGCCAGTGCGAAAAGCCTGCTGGCTTTGGATCAATTCATTATATTATATTCGACCGACCATATCATGCATATTCAAATTTTAACTCTTAACTGACAATTATTGCTTTTTTTACAATTCATAGATTTTACATTCGCGCCTTCCGTAAAGTAGAGCAAGATTCTGAAATTTCAGCAGGCAAACTGGACTTTATCAATGTTGTTGAAAGAGTTTCTAAAGATGATCAAGAAAGTTACTGAAACGATTCCGTTTATCCTACATAACAGTCTATCCTACATAACAGTATTTTAGGCCTCGTTTGCAAAATTTTAGCGCACAGAATTAAACCAAGTTCTGCTGTGTTGCGAGCAGCGATAGAAGGAAGTTTTCTCCAACAGTTGAAGAGCGAGGGGTAGTGTGAACGAGTTCATCAGTTCATTCTTTTCTTTTGTGGCAGAATTAACTCCCTGTCAAAGATTAATAATGTGAAACGAATATGAAACATAACCTCAACAAGTCGTGAGTTGTGTCAAAATTGTATGATAGATAATAATCTCAGAACTTTCTAAATCTTAATAACATTTTTTCATCAGCATTGGCAAATAATTGGCAATAGTAATTTTGCTTCAACTTACATTTGTTCTCGGAGAAGGAATGTTACACTTTTACATGGTCCTGGCCTGATCGGCAATACTATTCGCTACTTTTCAGGATTTAATCCCTGAAATTTTGTACAATGCTAGCAGGAATTACGAAATCTATTCGAAGGTTATTTAGTTTGTTCCTCAAACCGCTCCACAAAATACTCCACAACTCCCTCTCTACTTCTCCCGCTCCCCCATCAACATTTCACTACCACTCCTCCCCCGCCCCCGAAGAGGAAAGGTCACCATTTCTACTCACACTCACAACACAGCACTCAGTCTTGGTCCAAGAAAGCAAAAGATGATCTACTCGCTACGGTAAAGGAGAATATTTCTGCAATGGCCATCAATCTACGTTGGAAAGAGTTATTTGCTAACACTCAACCGACACTCTCAACAAACATTTGAAGTAGACTTACACCTGTGCTCCACGTCTAGTAGACCAGAGAAATCTGGGCCAAGACTTCTGAAATAGAGGAGATACCACATCCAGAGGATTAATACAAGCTTCTTTTAGCTTATTTAATCTTTTTGCCATCTCCAAGAATAAGTGGCTGTTATGATTTCTTTTCACTGTCGCTAAACGTGTAAACAATTTTATAGATATTCATGCCATACAATTGCAGTACCTACCTATTGAACCTATGAAAGTATTTTTACCTAGCAGCAGTAAAATCGGGGGGGGGGGGGGGGGGGGGGGGGGGGGGGGGGGGGGGGGGGGGGGGGGGGGGGGGCCGCCCCTATCAAGATTCTAAAAAAAGTGCGATGAGATTGGATTTTGAGACTAAAAATGCGATTCCCCCCCCCCCCCCCCCCCCCCCCCCCCCCCCCCCAGACTGCAAGATTGGGGGGGGGGCTCATGTTTTTTTGTCCGTTTTTGTCCGTTTGGCAGCTATATTTTCAAAACGGACAAAAAATAAAGCGGACAAAAACGGACAAAAACGGACAAAAAATAACAAAAATTGAAATAACATTTAGATGCTTCCTCCTCCTCCTCCTCCTCCTCCTCCTCCTCCTCCTCCTCCTCCTCCTCCTCCTCCTCCTCCTCCTCCTCCTCCTCCTCTTCCACAGGTTCTCCTCCTCCTCAGCCATCCTCCTGAGCCATCCTCCTCAGTCCTCCTCAGTCCTCCTCCTCTGCAGTCCTCATCATCCTCCTCAGTCCTCCTCCTCCTGGGTCCTCCTCCTCCTCTTCATCCTCCTCCTCTTCCTCCTCAGTCCTCAGTCCTTCTCCTCGGTCCTCCTCCTCATCCTTTTCGTCAGTACTCCTCCTCCTCAGTCCTCCCCCAGTCCCCCTCCTCCTCCTATTCAGTCCTCCTCCTCCTCCTCCTCAGTTCTCCTCCTTCTCATTCCTCCTTCTGAGTCCTTCTCCTCTTCTTTCTCCTAAGTCCTCCTCCTGGGTCCTCTTTCTCCTCCTCCTTCTCAGTCCTCCTCCTCATCCCTCTCAGTCATCCTCCTCAGTCATCCTCCTCAGCCATCCTCTTCAGCGATCCTCTTCAGCGATCCTCCTCAGTACTCCTCAGTCCTCCTCCTTCTCAGTCCTCCTCAGTCCTCCTCCTCAGTCATCCTTCTCCTCCTCCTCCTCCAGGGGGATCCTGTTATCAAAACGGACAAAAAATAGAGCGGACAAAAACGGACAAAAACGGACAAAAAATAACAAAAATGGAAATAATATTTAGATGCTTCCTCCTCCTCCTCAGTCTTCCTCAGTCATCCTCCTCCTCCTCCTGAGTCCTCCTCCTGGGTCCTCCTCCTGAGACCTCCTCCTCTTGGGTCCACCTCCTCTTCATCCTCCTCCTCCTCTTCCTCCTCAGTCCTCAGTTCTCCTCCTCAGCTCAGTCCTCCTTCTCAGTCCTCCTCCTCATCCTTTTCCTCAGTCCTCCTCCTCAGTCCTGCCCAGTCCCCCTCCTCCTCCTATTCACTCCTCCTCCTCCTCCTCCTCCTCCTCCTCAGTCCTCCTCCTCCTCAGTCCTCCTCCTCCTCCTCAGTCCTCCTCCTCCTCAGTCATCCTCCTCAGTCCTTCTCCTCCTCAGTCCTTCTCCTCTTCCTCCTCCTCCTCAGTCTTCCTCATATTCCTCAGTCCTCAGTTCTCTTCCTCAGCTCAGTCCTCCTTCTCAGTCCTCCTCCTCATCCTTTTCCTCAGTCATCCTCCTCAGTCCTGCCCAGTCCCCCTCCTCCTCCTATTCACTCCTCCTCCTCCTCCTCCTCCTCCTCCTCAGTCCTCCTCCTCCTCAGTCCTCCTCCTCCTCCTCAGTCCTCCTCCTCCTCAGTCATCCTCCTCAGTCCTTCTCCTCCTCAGTCCTTCTCCTCTTCCTCCTCCTCCTCAGTCTTCCTCATATTCCTCAGTCCTCCCCCAGTCACCCTCCTCCTCAGTCCTCCCCCAGTCACCCTCCTCCTCATCCTCATCCTCCTCATCAGTCCTCCTTCGCCTTCTCAGTCCTCCTCTTCAGTCCTCCTCCTCCTTTTCCTGGTTCCTCCTCCTCAGTCCGCATTCTCCTCCTCAGTCCTTCTCAGTCCTTTCCCCAGTCACCCTCCTCCTCATCCTCCTCATCAGTCCTCCTTCTCCTTAGTCCTCCTCCTCAGTCCTCCTCCTCCTCCTCCTGGGTTCTCCTCCTGGATCCCTCTTCTCCTCCTCAGTCCTTCTCCTCCTCCTCAGTTATCCTCCTCCTCCTCCTTCTCCTCCTGGGTCCTCCTCCTTCTGCTCACCAGTCCTCCTCCTCAGTCCTCCTCATCCTCTTCATCCACTTACTTCTCCTCCTCATCAGTCCTCATCAGTCCTCCTCCTCCCAAGTCATCCTCCTCCTCCTGGGGCCTTTTCCTGTGTCCTCCTCCTCCTGGGTCCTCCTCCTCAGTCCTCCTCCTCTTCCTTCTCCTCAGTCCTTCTCCTCCTCATCTCAGTCCTTCTCCTCTTCCTCCTCCTCAGTCTTCCTCCTCCTCAATCCTTTCCCCAGTCACCCTCACCCTCCTCCTCATCCTCATCCTCTTCATCAGTCCTCCTTCTCCTTCTCAGTCCTCCTTCTCAGTCCTCCTCCTCCTCTTCTTCCTGGTTCCTCCTCCTGGGTCCTCCTCAGTCTTCTTCCTCCTTCTACTCCTCAGTCCTCCTCCTGCTCAATCCTCTTCCTCCTAAGTCCTCCCCTCCTCAGTCCTCCTAAGTCCTCCCCTTCTCAGTCCTCCTCCTCATCAGTCCTCTTCACCAGTCCTCCTCCTCAGTCCTCCTTATCCTCATCCTTTATCTCCTTTCTCCTCCTCATCCTCGTCATACACCTCCTTCTCCTCATCAGTCCTCCTCCTCACTCCTCAGTCCTTCTCCTCCTCCTCCTCCTCCTCGTCCTTAGTCCTCTTTATCAGTCCTCATCAGTCCTCATCGGTCCTCCTCCTCCCCAGTCCTCCTCATGGGGCCTTTTCCTGGGTCCTCCTCCTCTTGGGTCCTCCTCCTCTTGAGTCCTTCTTCTCCTCCTCCTATTCATTCCTCCTCCTCAGTTCTCCTTCTCAGTCTCACTCCTCCTCAGCCCCCCTCCTCTCCCTCCTCAGTCCCCCTCCTCAGTCCCCCCTCCTCCTTTTCCTCTCTTTCATCTCTCAATAATTTGTTCAATTTATAATTATTGTTGGTGTTATTGTTAACATAATTTATTGTTATATACTAAAATGTTTTTAAGCGCATTTGAGTCTGACTCAAAATGTGCTCAAGAATCTTTGTGTTTAACAAAGTTTTACTCTCCAGTAATAAAACTTTTCATCCCTTTTTATGTTATTAAAAAATGTGTAGACTATTCTTTGTGCCTAATTGAAGATTAAAAGTTTGAGAAAGGACCATGGTCATTAACCGGGCTACCCATTTCTGCAGATAGCCTGTTACAAATTGTGGAGAAAATTTAAATCAAAAGTTACAATTTTTGTCCGTTTTTGTCCGTTTTTGTCCGTTTGGCAGCTATATTTTCAAAACGGACAAAAATTAACGGACAAAAACGGACAAAAACGGACAAAAAATAACATGATCCCCCCCCCCCCCAAGATTTCTTGCCCCACAAATTACTTTGTATTTAAAAAGATGTCCCTTTGTAAGCGAAATTGTAAGTATGTCGCTTTATGTCGCTCGATGTTTATTTCTCAGAATTGTAAGTATGCCGCTGTAATTTGGATCAATACATAACGAAAAATTTAAGTGTGTATTTTTATGAAGTATATAATGTTACATATTGTAAATCTGTCATGCCTCACGTGGCGCCCCAGTTTAGGGAACGGCCGCTAGGCAGTTGATCCCGAGTTCGAGTCCCGTCGACGGTCATTCTTTTGGCAATTATTAATTATTTTACTAAAATTATCACCAGAGCATCTTGTAATATACTTTATCTGATAAATTATACAGTTCGTACTTCAGCTAGAGAAGACTGGCATTTAAGGATTTGTCCGGGGAAGGCCTCGTTCATACTGGAACATATCAAATTATGGTGAACGGAGTTATCTGGTAATATTTGTTTTGTTTATGGCTAGAATTTAGAATGGAATCAATGTGATGAGGATCCAGAGTTACTTACCTGCTAGGATTAATAAGTCAGGTCTACAGTTGAAGAGACCCTTTTTCAAACTTTTAATGAAGAAATATCCACTGTGCCTATGGTAGTGTCAAGTATATTCATTATTCTGAGAAAGTCGACTTATTCGATGAGTCGACTGTAGCCAGGAATAGTACCTTGAGATTTCGACCATTACCGGACCTCCTTTAATGGTAACCATGGTAACTATAGTAACCACTGTGAATCTTGATCTTATAAACCGATTAATATCGACAACAACTAGTATCCTTTAAGACTTAGACAGTACAGAAAAGTAAGCCGTCAGAGTAACACAACCAGTAATAATTCAAAACAATCAATACCAAAAGTTCAATGACCATGAAAAGTCGGCTTGATGATGAAGACGAAAAGGCCAGCAAGTTGAGGAATAGTATGATGGGGCCGTTGCGCGCGACCGAATATGTAGTGCTGAAAGAGGGTGCCGAAATCTCGCAGCTAGACTCGCGATATTGGGGTGAGATTTATACTAAACTCGTCAAAATCTCGCACTAATTGCGCGGCTCAAAGTTGTTATACTTTAACCACGTGATCTCACACCGCACTAAGTTCCGAATTCACAAAATATAAAGTACATTTTTGTGTCGCTTAAAACTTTTAAATTACATTTTTTCTATTTTCTCACACATTTTTTTGTTAGTTTTTTTTTCTGTGTTTATTTTAAGATTTTGTGCGATGAGCCTGTCTCGCCATCTCGCATGAATCTTGACCTGGGGGGGCCGGGGGTAAGGGATCATGTATTAACTGTTTTTAGGATAATAATTAAGACACCCACCCCCTTTTACCGGCTTTTGTGGTACTAACTGTTGAGAAATCACTGTACTATGTCTTGGTTTATAAAATAAGATACCCACCCAGAAATTGCTTTAAACAGCTCATTAAATATGACTTTTTAGTTTTAAAAGGATCCGATATTGAATGTAAACAATGAAACTAACAGTTGAGATATCTATGCTTAATTAAAAACATACACTAACACACGCCCACATGTTTACAGATTACAATTACACACATGGCATGTATGTAATGTGTACTATACATATCACACATCATTTAAGAACCAGCAGTTGAAATACATTTTAAAATAAATTAAACACTGCACCTTCTCAAACGGAAAAGTCAACAAAGCCAAAGGCCACTTTTTAAAATTATACAAAAGATCAATCGCACTCTGTTTAATAAATTATATCTTAATTTACTAACTGTTTTTGGGCAAATTAGACCTAAGACTCACTATTTAGTAGCATACAGTACAAACTGTTTTTCTGGGAAATGAGCAGCAGATCCACCACTTAGTACAAAAGTACTAACTGTGTTTTGGAAGAATATATGACACACCACCCCAACGTCACGTACAGTTAACAGTACTCAGTACCTGATCCCGGGGTCCTCCCTCCTCCCCCGGTAAAATATGACCAATATTTCTTTATCTAAGGACGTATTTAAAATAGTATTACAGTACTTACCAAACGGTGTGTGTCAGAGGGAGTTGTAAGGGCTATCAAACTAGGAATTTTAAGATGTTGCACAGATTTGTATTTCTGAGTTCTCCAGTCACCACTATTTCAGTCAGCACAATCTCTCTCTCTCTCTCTCAGTCTCTCTCTCTATTCTACGATTTTGGTATCATTAGCACAACAAATAACAATGTAGCCATTACAGCAGCTAGCGACAAGTAAGTTTATCCTAAAAGTAACGAAGCACATGCTCATTTAAAAACCTTCATTTACTGAGAATATGATCAAGCTTATTAGTAAAGATACAATAAGTATTATAAGCGTGGCTTGCCTCAAATTAAATAGATCAGAAGATAACTATAAACTGATCATGATAAGAACAAAAACAACACAGTGCTTGGTCGTTGTTTTAAAGTTTGAAAACAGTGCATGTGGCCTTCCATCAAGAACACGGAATTATGTGATCATACAAGAAAGACAGATCTTAATAATATTTAACATCATTTGCATCAGGCTTAGTTGTTTGAAATAAATTACCTCATACAGCTGAAGACCAACAATGATTGAAGAGGAGGAAAAAATATCAAACAGAATAATCATATGTATTGTGAGCCAACCAGGGGTAGATGAGGCATCCATCTCTCCAACGGTTTTGACATCATCGAAATCATCTTACCGTCATCTGAATAAAGGTCATGTTAATTATCTCAATTATACATTAGCCAGTTGCAGTATTAAATTAGCCAGATGCTTAGCAATGCGCATAAATGTGCTCAGTGCATTCTTGGAATTTTCACAAGTTTTATTTCAGCCCGACAATGAAAATAATATCAGATCAGTGGTACTTAGATCGAATCCAAATAAAATCAACAAAGTGGCCGCTTTTTATGCACAATTTTTAAAAAAATGTATATTTGGACTATTCATATGTGCACAGATAACTGCATCAAGGTAATGATAATAATAATCCTATACATTTGCATAATTGAAACAATTATGGCCCCTTATTGTGGGCAGAATATGTGTTTTTGTTGAAGTGTCCTGGTATAAAACTTATCCGAGTGACTGCATAGGGATAAATACTAGGACCTACTAAACTCAAAACAAAATGCAGCCACCTAATTAAGATACTGAATTATTTACTTCACTTTAATTATGATGGCCAAACGTGACAAGCTTGTATCTAAACAAATAAAAACATGATCAATGATATGACGTACATGTAGCGCGTGGTCAAGCGCAACTAGCAGAGCCAAACGGAATAGAAATAGCGCAGTGCTTTTCAACAGTCCCAGTTAATTATCAATCAAAATAACTGACCACTGATCAGCCCTAGGCCTACATTACATGACAAACACCCAACACTCATACTTTAATCAGAAACACTCACTGAGTGAAAAATGTAATACCTTGGGAACAAGAAATTTGGGATACATAACATTTTGATGCATAAGTGCATCCCTTTCTGATCTTCTGGATCAATTTTACAAAATTCAGAGAACAATTCCAACACTATACCGGTTTTACATTATACAACTAATAGAATTCTAAGGATAAACACAATAATCTATCTTTCTAATTGCTATGTTAATTGTTAAATAGCAACATTTCGGGGTTGATTCATACTCTGCACAGCAAGGTTACAGTTTCATTTTAATAGAAATTTGAGTAATAATGCCTGTAACAATGTTTTAATAAATCATAGTGTGTTAAAGGATACAAATGGAGTGATGTGCTTTATGGCTACCATCATTGAGTGCATTGAGTTATGTAACCTAAAAGGTGTCCAGTTTTGGATTGGGAATTGAGTGGGGCAGTATCTGCGCAGCCCTAAAACCAAGAGTAGACTTGGTTGTGGGGCTTCACAGATACTTCCCATGTATTATAGAACTATGATCATAATAAACTACTTTTAGGATAAGAGTGAGAAATAGTGAAACAAACTTTTTAGTGAAACAAATTTAAAATAATGCAAGGGTAGGGGTTACAGATAGTTATTATGACTTTAGGAACCTTAACCTTATTCCTAACCAAACTGTTGTGTACTCAATTTAAATGTCTAACTAGCCTTTAATAATGGTGGGTTGTCTTGGATACTGCATTTCCAACTTGGTGCACGCCAGGTTTAAAATAAAATTATTTCCCTCACTTGCTTGGATTAGATTGGCTCACTCCAATGTTAAGACTGCGTCGTCACCACTAACCAGTAGATTCATCATACATGAACTGTAGGCACCTAAATTGAATTGATCAGAATAAGTATGTCAAAGATTTCGTTTTCCCTAATAGAAGTTTCGATAGTAAATAAAAGGAAAAATGTGTCAAAATGTATTTAATATACATTCAATTAAATCAAGTGATGCGATTGGCAGAGCACAATCAAATTTTTAGTGTTGCAATTGGCAGAGCACAATATTTTAAATCTTTAACAATCTAATATATAAAAGTTTCAAAACGCATGATCTGCTCCATTATTTAGACTCCATTAAAGGGGCAGGGATGAGATTGTAGGAGACTTCTGATAGATGGATCTCATGTTTGGTGTCCACCTTCTTTCCCCGGTACTTAATTAAAACAATATCCATTTGAGCATATATATTTTTACAATTGGTCAAAATATGGGTAAAAAGAAATAATAAACATATAATAACATTTATTGGAATGCGAGAATTTGTACTGTGGCAAGTGGTTGATTTAAGTGCTCCAAGAAATAATTTTACTTTACAATAGGCAATGATGAGTGGCAGGATTTTGTAGCCCACTAATAAACATTCATCTTCAAATCTTTCGAAAATGGCATTATCTCATAGAGCAATATATTCTTGGTTTAAAAAGACAACAAAGAAATTTTCAAAAGAAGCCTATAGAAGAAATTCTGCTTGTGTGCTTGTAAGAAATATCAATCATCTATACGATGGGAGTTGGGACATAAGATTAAAGGCTCATTGCATAATGTTAAGTTATAGAAGTCAAGCACATTGATGCATTTGGGACTAGCCATTAGAACTCACTGTACGGCCTCAAGTAAGAAAAATTGTGTACTTCGTAATGGAGATGGTATGTGAGAATTCATAGACCTGTGATCTACAACAATCAATATGTTACCAATGATTTGAATATCTTTTTCACTTTATATCAAAGATCAGAATAGGTGATATGATGTTCTATTCTTCATATATGTATTTACAAAAGGTCGTGAGCATACAGTCTCATAGTAGCTCAGGCTCTTACGGGCATTGTCTGCTCGATACGTTAGGGACCCCAGATACACCTTACTAGACGTATTTTTGACCGTAGAATCGATTGAAAGTGGTTTCAAGATGATTGGACTGATTGTTCTGGGGTAAAATCGCAAAAAACCGATTTTTGGGCCAAAAATAGGCCAAAAAAACCATGTTTTTTGATATTTTGAGCAAGTTAATTTTGTTGGCATGTCGGCAAAACTTGCATAAAGATAGCTAAAAGACAGCCGCACAAGATTGTATAAAAATAAAACAAATCCCTCTATTTGTTCTGAGGTAAAAATCCAAAAAAGTGGTAAAAATTTTGACTTTTTTGCTTTAAGTTTGAATAATTTTTTGCAGTTGTATTAAATCAACCCAAAAATAGTCACATCGTGTTTGCCTAAATTTTTCCTTTCCGAGAAGTACCCACTTCATATACTTAATCGAAGTTTGAATATTGTCACTCCGCAAGACTCCTGAGTCTTGTAAACTCGAGTACGGAGATAACTGGACCTCTGGACTCATGTCTGGTCATCAAGTATGGAAACAACCAAGCGAGTACTTCAATACACAATGACGGTGAGAAACTAATGGACCAGGAGAAATCGATTTGCTCTTTCTCACTGGGATGTGAACGGACGCTTGAGTTTTACGAGGGCACAACTGGGAAACCTAATTGTGTCAAGACGATAAGGATGAAGAACAACAGTCTTGTTGTAATGCGGCCTGGGACACAGCAGAATCTGAGGCATGCTGTGCGAGCAGAGCCGGCCACAAAGGGAGAGCCTCCAAAGAAATCGGAGCAAGTAAGATACTCCCTGTCATTTCGAGCTATTGTGAAATCTGGTGGCCAAGTTAGCTCTCAGAATATCAGCACAGAGACTAGTACACCAGCTTCTGGCACCGAAGCCCAAGTACCTGCGCAAAGAGTCACGTTGGTTGCTGGAGACTCTTATGCTCAAAGATTGGACTCCGCAAAGCTGGGAAAAGGGAAAGTCACAGTCGTAAATGTTGCAGAAGGCGGAGCAAAAATGGACAAAGTCCAGAAACAGTTGGAGGACTACTGCACGGCACATCCTGATGTCCACGTTGAGAAGCTTCTGATCAGCGTAGGCACAAACGATATTAGGCGTGTGGGGGATAAAATTGGTATTTTGAGGGGACCAGTAAAGCAACTTTTTGGTAAGATAGGCCTATTATTTCCCAACTGTAAGGTATATGTTCAATCTCTATTGCCATTACCTTTACAGAATGATAACAATAAATTAACTAACAAGAGGGTAATGGATTTTAATAGGATTTTATACAATGAGTGTGTATTTAGGAGGTTCTTTTTCATGGATGTGTTTTATCCCTTTACAAAGTTTAAGAGAGCTCTAAGTGAGCCTGTTAAGAGATTTGATCCCTTATTTGAGAACAAAGGCATTCACCCCAATCCTCAGAAAGGTATGGGTGTGTTGGCCAGATTTTATATTCGTGCCATCCACAGTAGATATTTTAATCCTTATATCTATCAGTAGTTCTTTTGTGCTGTCTTCTGAACCTTGTTAAGCTAATGATATGCAGTTGTAGTCTGGCAAGTATACTCACCTGTAAAACACCATGATCGATTTAGTAACATACAGATTTAGAGTTGGAGTGTTTAGTGGAAATTCTTTTGCAAAATCCATCAAACATCAGAACCGTAGACGTGGTACAGGTAGTATTTTTGATTATTTAGACAGCTGCATTGATTCTCGCTTATTATTTTATATTTTTTATGTTATATTCATATGTCACTTTTCGCTAATCACTATCACATATGTCGGGGTAAGTGGGTTGGCTTTTTCTAGGGTCACTTATGATTGCCGAGCCTTTGTACCAACATACCCAGTTCCTAACTTGTGCCGATGCTTTACAGTTTATTT